CTCTCTCTCTCTCTCTCTCTCTCTCTCTCTCTCTCTCTCTCTCTCTCTCTCTCTCTCTCTCTTTTGGGTGCAGAAGAGGGTCACAGGTTCGAATCCTGTTAGTACCTTGAGTTAAAAAATCAGATACGCAGTCGAATGGGGAGTTGGTGAAGGCGAGCAAGCTTTTGTCCGACTAATGTAATGTATGTGGTGATCGTGAGTGCCTGATGTGCGATGGTGGTTGCCTTTTTTTTTTTTTTTTTTTTTTCCCTTGGCTGATCTGCTGGCAGGGTGGAAGCTGTATCCCCAATTTTTCAGGGGATGCCCCCAGTGGCAAGGCACAGATTGGTTTACTCAACTTTGACGGAGGAACTGCAGAGTGGTGTGCACGCTCTGTCGCTAGTTCTAAAGACTCCTTCGGAGTTGAGTCGCAAGGCTTGAGAGAAGGTACTCACTCTAGCAGAATCTTAAATGTATCTGATCGTAATTGCGGCCGTACTTGGACACGTATCTGACCGCAATTCCGTCCAGAATCAGTAAGAAAAGTCCTTGTGTGAGTATATACCCTCAGGGCGAAGTTTGTTGAGATTGAGCTTGAGGTCGTGGCGGGAAAATTGCGAACACGACAAGCTGCATTGCTTTTTTTTTTTTTTTTTTTTTAATAAATACAAGTTGCATTGTCGTGTAGCTGGCGGGGGACAAGTTATGCGCAGAGCTCGCTAACTAGCCAAATTAAGCACCTTGCCTTCTCCCTCCCCCCCCCCCCCCCCCCCCCCCCCCCCCCCCCCCCCTATTCTTTTTTTTTTCCTTGTTCGTAGTACGTGGTCCAGGGGACCATCTCAAGGCATACTCACTAAGAGTTTTTCCACTTCTCTGTGGACGTGATTGCTGTCAGGTGCATCCAGACTGGGTCCAGGAAAGTCCTACCATCTTCACCCGAATATAACGCCCAGTCCTTATAGCTGTATTTGGGGCACTTTTCAGTCCCGATGCAGCAATAGTGACCAGCGGGCGTTCTGTTCAGGTGAGGACGGTAGTATGAATATGCACTATTATCATAGTATTATGCACTCATTCTACTTCATCATTATTACCGTGCTGCCAAGTTTGGCGCATGTTATCATTTTTAATCCCATGAGTTACAGAGCGAGGGCAACCACCACGAAGATAAAAAATGGTACACCCTTGTGGCTGAATGAATGGTACACCACCCATCAACTCTGGATAGACAGACCCGAGTTCGAAACCTGAGAACAGCAGTTAAAAAACGATGGTGACACTCCAGCAATTCGAACTTGACTTCGTACGTTGTCCAAGCAGGCATTTCTTTGATTCTGGTAAAGCGGTGAATCCATGATGATGATGATCATCATGATGATTTGCAGTCTGTTGTGATCCTTACTGGCATGTTACAGTGCTTTTTCAAGAAGTGAAGGTCTCATCGTTTCGGAAATGAAGTTGAACCCTCTCTCTCTCTCTCTCTCTCTCTCTCTCTCTCTCTCTCTCTCTCTCTCTCTCTCTCTCTCTCTCTCTCTCTCTCT